GCACGGGGCCGGCACCGGCGGAGTTGCTGCCTCCTGAGCCCGCGGAGCCCTCCCGGTGCTCCGGCTGGTGCCCTGCTTCCAAGGTGCACGTCCTGTCAGCCCTGGGAATGGGGCATTGAACAAGCGAGACGCGGTCCTGGAAGGAATGGGATGCTCCGTGTCTGCTCGCGTGTCTGCTCGCGAATAAAGCGTGTGTTGAAAATGCCCGTGTTTCATGAATGGCCGTGAGCTCAGCAGTGCTGCTCCCTGGTGCAGAGGCAGGTAGAGCAGCGCTCTCTGCATGACAATTGTGACGCTCTTTTGGGAGGCCCAGTAGGCACCATGTTCTGCAAAAAGGTTTGTGCAGAGCCTCGGTGTGAAGCCCTAGGATCTGGTATCAGAGAGCCAGGTGTTAAGCACTTTACAAGGGCAAGCATTTTCAGACGTGCTGTTTGAAGCATAATGTGTCCCTCAACACGATTAGTGCTGTTCAGCAAGTGTTGTAAATGCCATTGAGGTCCCTGTCGCAGCAGGGTCAGTGCTAATTTACTCCTGCTCTCTTGTTTCGTGGCTGAATGTGCAATCCAGCACATTATCCTTAGTGAAAAAGGCAGCGGAGAGATGCAGCAGGGAGCGGCCGAGCGTGGGAGGGCTGGGCTTGCCCCGTTTGGCTGCAGCCTGGATTACAACAATATAAACAACATAAAATTTTTATCTCAACCTTTTTTTTTTTTTTGGACTGCAGAGGGATCAGCCTAGTGGTGCAGCCTTGCTCCTTTGCAATGTTTTCTTTGCAGTGTCATTAAGAGGGACATCAGGTATGTCTGCTTGTAGCCTCCTGCCCTCTGTCCCTCTTGTCCTTGGAAGAATTGAGGTCCTTGGCGACAGGAACAGGGGAAAAGGGCTGAGAGTGAAGGAGCCAGGCCTGGGAGAACAGGGAGCTGTGAGCCAGGTGTGAGGGAGCTGCTTCGGGCGTTCTGTGCTCCCAGTTACAAAGCGGGCAGGAATGCAGCCAGCGAGGGCGTGAGCTCAGTGGATGGGAGGCAGGAAGAGCAGTCGGTCCCTTCCGTCTCCATCTACCTCTCCGAGCCTGGCCTTGGCCTTCCCCCACCCCTTTGATTATTCATTAACTGCAGTCCAGGAAGTGCATTGCAAATGGTGAAAATTAAGCCCGCGGCTTGAGGCCTGAGGTTTGCCTGACCTGGAGCTACCTCCTTATTCCGCCTGGGAGCAGGCGGAGTTCGGGGCTTCGCCTGTGCGCATCGGGCTCAGGTGAGTCACGGGAGGTGCTGCACCCGCAGGCACGGCCAACTGCTGCTCCAGCGCCCCGGCACTCACCACCATGAGCATCCCGCCCCGCCGCCAGGGTGCCACGCCACCCCTCCTCTGTCCAGGTCTTTGATCTCCCTCCCAAATCCGTTTCAACGTCCTTTCTTGCTAATTCCGATATTGCTTTATTTTCTTTAGTAGGACCCCCCTGGTTGAGGGCTGTGGTACTTCCTCCACCAGCTCCTGTCAGTCCTCCATTAGTGGGGATCTGAGAGACAAGACCCTGATGCCATCCCGTGGGTGAGTGCTGTGAATGCTAGTTAGGGCAAGAAAACAAGAGTTGTTGGTGAGAAAAATAAAAATAGCAGCAGTAGGAATTAGGCACAGAAGGGAAAAACGCCCAGTTTCTAATAGGAGCTGCCTATTAGAGGTAGCCAGAGGATTGGAGCTCGCTGTGCTTTACATCATTACTGTTGCTTCTTCTCACTTTGATAAGGAGCAAGTAGGGTTTGTGATGCCCAGTCTGCTGCAGTTCCTCTGCCACCCTGCAGCTGCAGCATCTCTGAATGGTTTTGCAGAGAGAGATGTCAGCTACCTGGCCTTTTAAATGCTGGTTATTCCTTCATTTGCTGCAGTCTTTCCTAGCCCTTTATGGAGCAAAAAGTGGGACCTTCAATCCTCACAGTCAGTCTAAACAGGTATCCTGCTCTGGAAGGGTGTCAGGAAATGGGATTCACACTGGCATTACTCTCTGGTAAGAATTTGGTCAACCACAGTGGTCCAGCCCTGTGCTGGAGCCCTAAGGCCTGATGGAGAGCATGTGGCTTTGGCAGGTCACAGGAGGATGGTCCATCAGCCCACCCCCAGGCAGCCTTTGCTCTGCACTAATGACTGAACTACAGCAGACTTCTGTACAGAACAGCTAAACCTCCTGTCTGAAATCATCTCTGTGCTGAGATTTACAAGAAGAAGATTGACAAATGCAATACTCATTCTCAAAAAGTGCTCCAAATTAGCTCCCCCTCAAATGTGAGAGAAGCATGGAACAATAAAGTCATTATCTGAACAGGAGGGTGCACAGTATAATGGGGAGAGCAATGAATGTGATACTAAAGGAAGTGCCAGCATCTGCTTTTGTAAAGGCAAATATGGTCCTGTAAAACTGGAGGGTTTTGAGGGACTTAGGAAACATATGGATAAGGCAGGTCTGGCCAGTACAGTTTGCTTGGATTTAAAGAATTTGGCAAAGACTCTCTCATCAAAGTCTTTAAATAAAGGCTGAAATCACGGGATAAAAAAAGAAGATAAAGATTTTCTTGAGTAAAGAAATACTAGAGAATAGTAAATGGAAGCTGGGAATTAACATCCCATTTTTACAGCAAAGGGAAGTCATCACTGGTCAGATCACAGGGGCCTTATCTGAAATACAGGCTGTACCTGGGAATACTGGTGAGGTGAGAAAATTGGATGATGGTAGAAAGTTATTCAGGATAATAGGGTGGGAGTTGACTTGTGACTAATTTCGGAAAGACCTAATGGCAATGAATGAGTGGGCAGTAGAACAACAGATGAAAAGGCTTATGTAAAACAGTGTTCATACAGAAAAATAATACAAAAATTGCATATAAAACAATGGTTGTGAACTAATAGTAACCTCTCTTTGATTATAGAAGTCCATGCAGTTGTTAGCTTCATGCTTGGTTGTAGTGAACATCAGAAATCACCACTGTCCATGACTCACCAGCATTGTGAACACCACATTTCTGTGCCCACCTTCACTCTTATCTCCAGATCAAAATGCCAGAATTGGAAATATCTCTGAGAGAGACAGCAAAGGTGGTCAGAGGTGTAGAATAGTTCTGTACAAAAAGAACCCCTTAGTAGGGCTGGAGTCTTCAGCCTGAGAGGATGGATATGGATGTTTCAGGTCTGTTACCACAAATAGCTTGGAGCACAGGGAGAGAAACGGGAACCACAGACTGATTTTCCTTTCTTTGCAACAACCAGGTGCTAAAAAAGAGGCAGGGAGCAGGTTATAAATGAGTCAAAGGAGGGGGTGTTTCTGTAACTGAGCAATGGAGCTCTTTGCCAAAGGGTGCAAAATTTGTTATGCATTTGACAGCTGACTACAAGTAGCTGCTAACAGAGGCTTAGGAAATACAAAGGCAAAAGAAACTCTGTACACAATCTTTCTCTCTGCTCTTCCTTTGACAACAATTTTGACCTCTGCCCTGCCTAGTGCCACCCCTGCTGCCCCAGAACTGGCTCAGGTGGCTCAGGGCCCCATTTGGCCGAGTCCTGACGCCTGCCAGGGTGGAGGCTCCTCCGCTGCACTGGAGACCTGTGGCAAGTGCTGAACCCCCTTGGGGGGGAGCACGTGTGCAGTTTTTCCTGATACCTAATCAGAATTTCCCTTGCTGCAAGTCATGCCTGTTGCCTCTTGTCTTTTGGTTGTGTCCCACAAAAAAGAACCTGACTTATCAGCTCTAAACCCCCACGGCCCCTTTTAGGTTGTCTCAGACAAGTGTTAAATCCCTCCTTAAGCATCTTTTCTTCAAGTTGAATAAACCCAGCTTGCTCTGTGCTGTGTTCCAGGCTCTTCACTGCATCAGTGGCATTATGCTGGATCCTTTCCAGTTTCTTTTTTTCTTGCAGCAATCCAGATGTGTGGTTTTTAATTAGCTATTTCATTTATCTTCTGCTGTAAATTTGTTACTGCGCTAGCTGTGGCCTGCTTCCACAAGGGATTTACAAGATGAGGTTCTAACACCTGTGTTGTACTGAAAGCCAAACAGTATAAGAGTAGTCTCTTTGCTGAAATCTCTTGACCTCTTAATTATATTAAAAAAGTGTTTTAGTGGCTCAATTATAGTCTTATTATATTTAGTGGCTCAGCTGTTCCGTGCTGCAGCCATTTGGGAGAGCAGCCTCAAAGATACTGACTGATGGCTTCTCTGTGGTGACATTTCCCTCCCTTACTGGTAGTTTTTAATTGGATGGCCCAGATCAAAGACACCAGGGCAGCTGCATGCATCCACTCCTTTCCTAAAATGAAAGCATGCAGAAACATAAACTCATCCTGTAAATTATGTGATATGGGGTTTTTGTCCACAAAAATACTGTCAAGAGATTACACTGCACCCTGTGGCTTGTCCTTCTGGAGGATGCTGAGTTACACGGGATAAATGCTCTCTCACCCTTTCTTATTCTGGTCTGGGCTCTTTGCTGCCTTGTTCTTTCCCTGTTCCCCTGTGTCCAGCTAATGTTCAGTTCCTCAGACAGATTTTCTCCTTCAGTGTAGGGTGCAGGGATGCCCAAGTTTTGTTTTTTCTCTGCCTTGGCTTCATATTTACTCAGCATACTCTAATATGCTTTTGATATCAGGAATTATTTTTTGGGACTTCTTTCTGGAAGTTCCTGCCTTTTCTCCCTTGGCAATAAACAACACTTGTTTCCTGTTCCCGCTAGACTGATTTAGGTGCCGTCTTTCTGGTGCAACTTCTACAACTTTGTGCAGAAGTTGTTCCCTTGAGTTGCTCCCGTGCATTTAAAATCTCCTTGGTTTTTAATATCAGTTCCAAGTCAGTACCTCTGGCTGCCTGCAGCTCACCACACCCCAGCTCACCATGTGCATGAAACCAGAAGCATTTCTAAGGAAGCTGCTGGAGGTGCCTGGGTTGCCTTTCTAGCAATGAAGTTTAGCTTCCCACTCGTCTCTCCTGTACTTCCCTTTGTTGCTGGTTTCTGTCTTGGCCACGAGTTTTTGTCTAAGTCTTAGCTAGCAGCCTGTTCATCTTTTTGCAGGATTTCCCAGTCTGGTGGTATGTGGGGAAGTCTGCAGCTGCTGCTGCTGCTTGAAATGAGCAAGGCTCTTGCTGTTGCTGCTGCCCACACCGCACAGGGTAGCTGAGATGGCCCCAGGGAAAAGCCAGGCTCCTTTGCCAGCTGGATTGCACTCTTAGGCCACGGCTTAGCTCCCATTCTTTCACCAGACCTGCAGACTTGAAGCCAGTGCTGTGGGCAGGGCAGTCATGGGCCACAGCTGGAAGCAGCCAGGTGACTGGAATGGTTTTCCTTCTTATACCTGGTTGTCCAGGTTGTCAGCTTTGGCCTCAGGGTGGGGTGCCGGGATTTTGAAGGTCCTTGGCTCAGCTCCCTCAGTGCTGTGTGGGCTCCCTGTAGCTGTTTGTCTTGGTCTCTGCCTCATTCCTCAGCAGCTTCACCACCCTCTCCCAACCTCCCCATCCCTTCTGAGCTACCACTGCCCATGTCAGTCCCATCCCGTGGCAGGCTGGTTTCAGGCAGGCACTGGTGTGCTCAGAGCACTAGCCTGGACCTTGAAGTCTGCAGCTCTGGGTTCACACGGATTCCCCCCTGTGCCTGTACAGAGCATGTAGGACATTTGGGACCATTTGTGTTTCTCGTTGGACTTTTGGAGGAAAAGGGGAACAGAGGACGAGCAGAACTGAGTTTTGTGAACATGGCCAGAACCCAAAATGAATGCGAAGAGTCAGCCCTTGGGTGCTGAAGACAGGGACCCAAAAATAATAGGGGCTATGGGGAGGAAAGACACAAAAGGAGAAGCAGAAGTGTATGCAAAGCAGCTCGGGGCTGCGGAGTGGATGGCTCAGAGCGCTTCCTGTTCCCGGAGCTGTGTGTGTGCCCCGCTGTGTTCGGGCTCGCGCCTGCCCCTGCACAGCGGGCCAGGGAGCAAGGCACCTGTGCAGGGAGAGGTGCATGGAGAGGGCCTGAATGGACTGACAGTCAGCTCCTGGAGAGATACATGGCCAGCTCCCAAGAGGCGCAGGAACAGCGTGGCGTTGGGTGCCCCTGCACAGACCTCCGACTTCCCTTTCCCTTCCAGCGCAAACTGATTTTTCCTCTGTGTTTTTTGGGTTGCTTTGGTGGCAGCCACTTGGCCGCCTTGGCTTTCTCCCTCCACAATGGTGAGGTAAGAGGGTCTGAGAGGTCTGTGTGTGTGAGGAATGGGACCAGGGAAGTAGGATGGATGAGGGCAGGGATGGCCCTGGAAGCCATATCTCTCATGGGAACCATCCATAGGCTGGGGGAGGCATCAGGCAGGAAGGGATGCTGCTGCTGCTGGCTTTCACCTAGGGATGCTGGCCGGGGGCCATTCTGCACCCTGCAGATCTCCACAATAGTGCCTGGCTTTTTTATTCACTTGGTCTTGCTGTTATTTTCTCTGCTAGGTGGTTTCACCGTGACCTGAGTGGGCTGGAAGCTGAAGCCTTACTGAAGGGACGAGGTGTCCATGGGAGCTTCCTGGCCAGACCCAGTCGGAGGAATCAGGGGGATTTTTCCCTTTCAGTCCGGTCAGTAACTTGGACCCCAGCTTCTGTCTTTGCAGTGTTACATACACAGATTGCCTAGATCCTCACATGTCCTCTGGCATCTTCTTCATCCTGCCTCTGTCCCTCTGAGTTCTTCTCAAGCTGTAAAATGACCTCAGCTTCCCAGTGTCTTCTAGAGCCTCCCTCAAGTCATCCAAGGAGCTTCTCTTTCCAGTCATCTTCATTCACAGAGATGGTTTGCTCTGGTTCCACGGTGGGAGGTAGTGCAGAACACCTTCCTGCCCCTTTCCCAACCACCTAATTGGACTGCCTTGTGCTTTATTCCACAGGGTTGGTGATCAGGTAACCCACATCCGCATCCAGAATACTGGGGATTTCTATGACCTGTATGGAGGGGAGAAGTTTGCCACCTTGTCAGAATTGGTGGAGTACTACACACAGCAACAGGGCTCGCTGCAGGACAAAGATGGAACCATCATCGACTTGAGATACCCGCTCAACTGTTCTGACCCCACGACAGAGAGGTACAGGGACAGCACGGAGCTGCTGTGCCTGTGATTAAATGTTTCGTGGCCTCTTTCTGTCCTGCCGGCATCCCCAGAGCAAATCCTGCCAAAAATGCCTCCTGCCTTTCTTAACCTCCTCTGTGTCCATGGGGGCAGCGTTCCTAGGAATAGCTGTGTGTACCTTGATCCATCACAGCAGACCTAGTAGGGATCTATTTTTACTTCTGGTTTCCGGTTGCCTTTGCTATGTATACACTGTTTTTGAAAGAAAAGGTTGCGGTGTCCGCTGTGGGTCTGCAGTGGGTCTGTGGAGGGACGTGTTGTGTGGAAGCCCTCAGTTGTGCCCCAAACCTCCCTGGTTATTCTAGGCCTGGGTGACTCACGTAGCTGCGAGCAGGACCATGTTCCCCTGCTATTCCTGGCCTGCTTAGTCTCCTTCCTGTCCCCGCTTTGCATGTGTCTCTGACACCAAGTTCCTAAATCAAATCAGGTGGCTTTGCCCTTGCGCTTTGCTTTCAGGCCCTTTGGTGCAGCTCAGGAGAGCTGTCATGCCCTGCTCGGGGGTGACAAGTCCTTCTTGCACAGGTCCTCCTTGGGCCCCTGGAGGCAGTGAGCAGGGAGGCTGAAACATCGGGGTACACCCCAGCTTGCTCCGGGTCAGGCTGCAGAGGGGCAGGTCTGCTGCTGGCTGCCCTCTCCAGTCAAGGCCATTGCTTCGTGGCCCTGCAGTTTCCTCCCTTCCTCCTGCGGTTGGAAACTTACCCCCTCCCCCCTCGGGCTCTTACGAAAGCTCCTCTCACTCTCTCCCCAAGTGATTTTCCGTCACGTGGCTTTGAAGAGCTGGGGGAGGGAGGAGTGGGACCCATTAACCCCCTCCTCCCTGTGGGGAGGGGAGGCTGGCAGACCTCTTTGATGGGCAGGAGGCGCCAACCGATGCCAAGGTGGCACCTGAGCACATGGTGGCTGAACAGTTCTCTGAGAGGAGGTTCAGAAATTAATGACAGCTGTGCACTGTCACCAGCTGCTTCTTGCAGTGCATGAGGTGAGGGTCAGCAAAAAGTTACTTGCTGAGCCCAGTAATAACTGTGTGAACCTCCTGCTGTACGTGGAGCAACCCCTTGCTCTGACGAGAGGCAGGGGAGAATGAATAAATGCCCCAGCTGCCTCTGTGACTGGGCTGTGGCCTCCTGAACTCCATCTCAGTTCATGGGAACAAAGAGCCCCCTAACAATGTGAAGTTCACCAGGCCAGGCCTTCCCTGTTAGCTGCTCCATGGAAGTAAATCCATTCCCACATCCCCATGGCGAGGCAGGGAACACCTTGGTCAAATGGGGATGCTCCTGACCTTGTGCTAGGAGGAGAAGGAGCTGCTGAGTGTTTGTATTGAGGACAGGAACGTGCACGTGGATCAGCTCCTGGTGCTCACTCCCATGGCCAGGGTGATTGCTGCAGTGTGATGTGCTCAGAGAATGGGAATTATCCTTTGAGTGAAGAGGTGACTGAGTTTCAGAAAGAGGAGTTGCTGGAATGGTTCTTTAA